CTGTGGCATAGCAGGTAAAGCCGCTGCCTGCAGTGCTGGCATCCCACATGGGTACTGGTTCAAGTCCTGGATGCTCCACTTCTGATCCAGCTCCCTGCTAATGTACCTGGGAAAGCAGTGGAAGATGGCCCAAGTGCTTGGGTCCCTGTACCCACATGGGAGACTCAGAAAAAGCTGCTGGCTCCTGGCTTTGGATTGGCCCAGGTCTGGCTATTGTGGCCATTTGAGGAGTGAACCAGCTGTTGGAAGACCTCTCTGTCTCTTCCTTTCTCTGGCTGTAACTTTGCCCCTCAAGTCAATAAATAAATCCTTATAATAAAATAAAATCAGATTAAGGCAATGAAATTTTAGGTGGAAGAAAAATTTTGAAAGACTTTTATTTATTTGAAAGGCAGAGTTACAGAGACAGAGAGAGAGGGAGAGAGAGGGAGAGAGAGGGAGAGAGAGATCTTCCATCTGCTGCTTCACTCCCCAAGTGGCTGCAACTGCCAAAGCCAGAAGCCAGAATTTTCTTCCAGGTCTCCCATGTGGGCTCAGGGGCCCAGGGACTTGGGCCATCTTCTGCTGCTTCCCAGGTGTATTAGCAGGGAGCTAGATCATAAGTGAAGCATCCAGGACTCAAACTAGCACCCATATGGGATGCCAGTGCTGCAAGTGGTCACTTAATCTGCTACACCACAGCGCTGGCCCTTGAAGAAAATGTTTTAATGTACCATAATGGCATACTTTTCTTTATACACATGCACTTGTAAAACACAATATTTATTTTTGTGGGAGAAGGGCCCTACAATGCAAAAGTTCCCAGGGCCTACAAAAAACATTACACAACCCTGTATTAAAGACAAGTATAGGGGCCGGCACCGTGGCTCACTTGATTAGTCCTCCGCCTGCGGCGCCGGCATCCCATAAAGGCGCCGGGTTCTGGTCCTGGTTGCTCCTTTTCCACTCCAGCTCTCTGCTGTGGCCCGGGAGGCAGTGGAGGATGGCCCGGGTGCTTGGGTCCCTGTGCCTGCATGGGAGACCAGGAGGAAGCACCTGGCTCCTGGCTTCAGATCGGCGTAGCTCCAGCCATGGTGGTCATTTGGGGGTGAACCAGTGGAAGGAAGACCTTTAAAAAAATAAATAAAAAAAAAAGACAAGTATAAGCATGCAGTTTGAATGTTGCTAAAAAAGTATTCTATTCACATGAAGATAGCACACTGACATATGACAGTGGTGTCTGCACCTTAGCTGCCAGTAACAATGCTTAAATTTCCCTTCATCATCCCCTGTGCCCTGCAGACGGTTTGGGCGGCCTATACTGTTTCCTGTAGGGCTTGCTGTGTTGCCACTCAGCCTGGCAGACATTTCTGAGTGTCTCATCTCCCATCCGGTTTCCATCAGTGTCTTTCTGGCATTTGATCAGTGCCAGTGATCCCAGCGCCTGAGGTTTCAGACACAGAGAAGCACTGGCCCTAGGCGAGAAGTCCTAGGTGACTCTCTACCCAGGCTCTCCGGGCCACCAGTGCCCAGCTCAGCTCCCACTTGGCTGAATTTCCTAAGGCTGAGTTTCAACAACCACTGCTGCCATTTCCCTCTCTTTCCAGCACATACCTATGTGTTAAAAACTTCCCTTGTGTGGTGTAGTGAGTAAAGCTGCGCCTGTGACACTGGCATCCCTTATGGGGGGCCAGTTCGAGACCCGGGTGCTCTGTTTCCAATCAAGTTCCCTGCTAAGGTTCCTGGTAAAGCAGCAGAAGATGGCCCAAGTATTTGGTCCTCTGCACCCACCTGGGACATCCAGAAGAAGCTTCTGGCTCCTGACTTCGGCCTAGCCCAGCCCCAGCCATTGTGGCCATTTGGGGAGTGAATCAGCGATGGAAGATGTCTCTTCATCTCTCTGTGTAACTCTGACTTTCAAATAAAGAAAACATAAATCTTAAAAAAATCATAATCAAATTGGTACAGTTCTAGAATTTTCAGGGCAAGGGAGAGGCGTGTGGAGGTCAGTGTCTGTGACCTTGAATTTCATGGAGTGGGAGAGGACTCGGGCTGGGAGAGACGGGCATACAGGCAGGCAGAGGACAGATCAGTGCTTGGTTCTGCTGGCACAGGGCAGGGCTCTGAGGGGCCAATCACTTGCACCCACTGATCACAAGAATAAAACACACAGAGGTAGCTGCACAGGAAAACCACCCCTCTCAAGACTCCCTGAGTCTCCTCGGCCCCTGGAGGGCGCTGTAGGGAAGAAAGTCAACAACTGGAGGCTGGCATTATGGTGCAAATGGTTAAGCTACCGCTTGTGATGCTGGTTAGAGTCCCAACTGCTCTACTTCCTGTCCAGCTCCCTGCCAATGTTCCCGGGAAGAGCAGACGATGGCTCAAGTACTTGAGTCCCTTCCATCTGCATGGAAGACCAGGCCTGGTGGTCGCAGCTATCTGGGAAATGAACCACTGGATGGAAGGTGAGTCTCTGTGTGTGTGTCTCTCCCTCTGTCTCTGTTACTCTACCTTTTAAATACATGCATATGTGGCCGGCACCACGGCACACTAGGCTAATCCTCTGCCTGCGGTGCTGGAACTCTGGGTTCTAGTCCCGGTTGGGGCGCTGGTTCTGTCCTGGTTGCCCCTCTTCCAGGCCAGCTCTCTGCTGTGGCCCAGGAGTGCAGTGGAGGGTGGCCCAAGTGCTTGGGCCCTGCACCTGCATGGGAGACCAGGAGGAAGCACCTGGCTCCTGGCTTCGGATCGGCGCAGCGCCGGCTGTGGCAGCCATCTGGGGGGTGAACCAACGGAAGGAAGACCTTCCTCTCTGCCTCTCTCACTGTCTAACTCTGCCTGTCAAAAAAAAAAAAATAATAATAAATAAATAAATACATAGGAGCCTTGGGATGAGCGTGCCTTGGGTGCCTTCCTGGTTTTCTCCAGTGCAGTCGCAGCTCTGACTCTGACCCAGCCAGGCCCCACATCTGCTCCTCCCCTTACTTACTAAGGAGATGGTCTTGGGCACGCGTGGTGGTTTTTCTGAACCTCAACACCCTCATCTAACGAGGATGAGAACATCCACCTCATGGGGTTGTTCTGAAATGTGAATGTCGGTGTGAACTTACTCAGGGGGCCCAAGAAACCCCGGGTTCCGGTTGTAATCACCAGCGCTTTGACCGAGGGAGTTCTTGGTCTGTTGACTGCGACCTGCTCTTCTACTCTGGTTTTGTGACAATAAATGGTCTACTTCTGCGAGACAAGCTGTGTTCCACGTTTCATCATTTCAGGCCCGTCACGGGACAGCCACAGTTTTCCCATGTGCTTTAAACGTATCCAGGAGAAAGGTGTGCAGGAAGGAGCCACCCCTGTTGGAAGGCTTCAGCAATCCTTGATGAACAAAAGCACAGCATTTTAAAACATTTGTACCAGTGTTATCAGGACCTATCCATTGATCAATTGCTCTGAATACAGCCTGAAAATATAGCCCTCAAGAGGGCTATGACTGTCTGTGACCCAATTGTTGTGCCCAAGGATGGTTAATTTGATACAGAGAAATATGTGGCTCACAGAGTGAATTTTTTTAGAGATTTATTTATTTGAAAGGCAGAGATTCAGAGAGACAGGGAGAGAGAGAGAGAGATTTTCCATCTGTTGGTTCATTCCCCAAATGGTTGCAGTGGCTGGGGCTAGGCCAGGCCAAAGTCAGGAACCAGGAGCTTCTTTCAGGTCTCCCATGTGGGTGCAGGGGCTCAAGGACTTGGACCATCTTCTACTGCTTTCCCAAGTGCATTATCAGGGAACTGGATCAGAAGAGGAGCAGCTGCGTTTCAAACTGGTGCCCGTATGGGATGCCAGCACTACAGGTGGAGGCTTAACCTTCTATGCCACAGCGCTGACCCCAGAGTGATTTTTTTTAATTAAGATTTTAAAATGTTTTTGAATGGCAGAGTGACAGAGATGGGAGGGAAGAAGTAGGGAAGAGGAAAGGAGAGAGAGACTTAAAAAAATTTTTAAGGTTATTTTATTTATTTGAAAGATTTACAGAGAGTGAGAGGGCGAGACAGAGATCTTCCATCTGCTGGTTCACTTCCCAAATGGCCCCAACAGCTATAGCTGTCAGTCCGAAGCCAGGAGCCAGGAGCTTCTTCTGGGTCTCCCATGTGGATGCAGAGGCCCAAGCTGTTGGGCCATCCTCTGCTGCTTTCCCAGGTGCATTCGCAGGGAGCTGGATCAGAAGCAGAGCAGCTGGGATACAAACTGGTGTTCATATGGGATGCCGATGTCACAGGAGACTTTACCTGCTATGCCACAGCATCAGCCCCAAATTTTTGAAAGCTTTGTTTATAATCTTGGAATTTGAGCTGTTCAGGCTTTGGCCAAAGAATAGGGAAGTGGAGAGGTAGGAAGGATTTTTTACATCCTGGAGTTGATTCTGCATAGCCAAGGATACATTTGGAATACCACTCAACTAATGGGTCTTTACTCTCAGTCGGTCATTTGGTGTGATATAGAAGACAGCGACTGTGAACTTGCCTTGTTCCTAGATGAATTCCTCCCTGCAACACTCGGCCTAACCTTCACCTTCCTGCTCTAGTTCTTACTTCTCCAGGACAGACAGCCCAAGCTTCTGGAAAGTCAGCCTTGCCTGAGTCTAGCCAGCCCAGGAAATGTACAGAAAATGCCTTTGACTCTGTTGGGTTCCTCTAACGTTGCGACTTATTCCCTCTCGATTTTTCATTTACTGTGCATCTTGAAACATCCATGGAAAAATCCTGGAGGGGCGACACGGAATCAAACTGGAACCTTGAGATTGTTTCCTGCTGAGAACATCTACTCCTCTCTTAACATCACCGCCTACCCAATAGGGACATCTGTGTTTCGAGTGCATACGAAATGAATGTGTCGGGGCACCTTGCGCCATGACCTTCCTCCATGCTGTACACAAACACGTTGTTTTTCCAAAGCTTACTTAGAACCCTTAAATATTAACTTGTCCCTGCTTCTTCCCTGTCAGGTGCATGAATATCACCTCTCTTTGGAGTCCCTAGAGTCCAGGCCATAGACCTTCTGCTACTGGTCAGCCCAAGGCCATGGGACAAGCCATTATTACAATGGTCTGAGTCATTCCCTAGTCTGGCCACAGGATGGTAAGTTCCTCTGCACAGCTTGTTGGGGAGTGGAACTTCCTGCCTGGCTCTGAGTGTGTGCATGGAGTAGCAGGTGCTCATTCATTCATTCATCGGAAATTTAGCCAACGTCTGCTGTGTGTTAGTGGCTGGAGACTCAAGGACTCTCAGTGACTCAGGGAAGGAGCTCACAGACCGGGGAGGCTGACTTATAAATAAACAGGTGCTATGTAAAAATACTGCACCAGGCCAAGAGGGAGGCAAGAGGACAGGCTTCTTGGAGGAAGAGAGACTTGAGCTAAATCTTTATAAAGATTGGAGCAGGGTGGAAGGGTGTTTTACATGGGGGAGCCCTGACACGCTCCCAAGGCTGGGGTTGGGGGGCCAGATTGTGTGGGTGGGCCTTTACTCACCATGCCAAGACTTTGCTTTTTCTTTTCTTGTTGGTAGAAGAAAGACCTAGCAAGTTCGTCTGGCCAAGGGTCTCTAGGACTTTAAACAGAAACTTACATAATCTGTGTAGTAAGTCCCTTTCCCTAGCACTTATTGCAGCGAATATTTTGAAAAGTGAATAGTTAGCTGGCGCCGCGGCTCACTAGGCTAATCCTCCACCTAGTGGCGCTGGCACACCGGGTTCTAGTCCCGGTCGGGGCGCCGGATTCTGTCCCGGTTGCCCCTCTTCCAGGCCAGCTCTCTGCTGTGGCCCGGGAGTGCAGTGGAGGATGGCCCAAGTGCTTGGGCCCTGTACCATATGGGAGACCAGGAGAAGCACCTGGCTCCTGGCTTCGGATCAGCATGGTGTGCCGGCCACAGTGCGCGGGCCGCATCGTGCCGGCCACAGCAGCCATTGAGGGGTGAACCAACGGCAAAGAAAGACCTTTCTCTCTGTCTCTTTCTCTCACTGTCCACTCTGCCTGTAAAAAAAAAAAAAATGAGGTTAAGGAGTGAGTGCTTGCCTCTTGGGATGCCCAAACTGCCTATCTGAGCGCCTGGTTCAAGTCCTGCTCCATTTCCCATCCAGTTCCCTGCTAATGTGCACCTTTGGAGGCAGCATATCATGGCCCAAGTACCTGGGTTCCTGCGTTAATTCTGAGGTTCCTGGTGTCAGCCTGGTCCAGCCCTGCCTATTGTGGAAATTTAGGGCATGAGCCAGCAGATGGAAGATCTCTGTCTCTGCCTTTCTGTTCCCTGAGTCTCTGCCTTTCAAATAAAATGAAAATCATAGATTAAAAAATGAGGTTGTGCACCCAAGGAATAGCCGCTCCTCTGTCCTGGTTCAGAGCCAGACCTTGTTGGAGAGGGCACAGCTGGGTCCCATCGGAGGCCTGAAAAGTTGTAACGGTGCCACGCCTGTGGAATTTGCTGGGAACTGAGCCCATGGGCGTCTGGGGAACACTGTTCATGGGGAGGCTGTGGCTTGCTGGAGTTGCCCCACTATGCAACAACTCACACCTGCTTCTGGGGACCGTCTCTTTAGCTTACTGCCTGCACCCAAGTCCTGTTGTAGGCTCCATGCTGAGGGCACCTGAAATTCAGGCAGCCTGTACCCACCAAGCAAAGACCCCTTCCCAACCCCACACTTCTCTCCAAGCCCAGCTTCTCTGCTTCAACCAAACCGACCATTGCTGTGTCCTGCCTGGGGCTCTTTTTCCTGTTTCTCCGCCTCATGGCTACAGCCTCGTTCCAGGAGAGCCCTCCACTTGCCCTTCCTTACCCACAGTCATCGCCTCTCCAACGTGCACGCATGAGGAGCGGCCCTGGATGCAGCCTCCCTGCTGTGGTCCCTCCTGTGTTTTCTGCCAGTGCTCGTGGGCCGTTTGCACCACAGCACTTATGAATATTTTCCTATCATACATTTCACATCCACAAACTTTGGAGGAGGAAGGGGGTGATTTTTTCCTACTCTTCCTTCCTGAAATTTTTTTTTCTCTCTCTTTTTTAAAGATTTTTATTTATTTATTTGAGAGGTAGAGTTACAGAGAGAGGGAGAAACAAAGAAAGGTCTTCCATCCACTAGTTCACTCCCCAAATGGACTCAATGGCCAGAGCTGAGCTGATTCGAAGCCAGGAGCCAGGAGCTTCTTCTGGGTTTCCCACGTGGGTGCAGGGGCCCAAGGACTTGGGCCATCTTCTTCTTCTTCTTCTTTTTTTTAATTTATTTGGCAGGTAGAGTTATAGACAGTGAGAGAGAGACAGAGAAAAGTCTTCCTTCCGTTGGTTCACCCCCCAAGTGGCTGCTATGGCTGGTGCGCTGTGCCGATCTGAAGCCAGGAGCCAGGTGCTCCTTCCTGGTCTCCCATGCAGGTGCAGGGCCCAAGCACTTGGGCCATCCTCCACTGCACTCCCGGGCCACAGCAGAGAGCTGGCCTGGAAGAGGAGCAACCGGGACTAGAACCCAGCGCTCATATGGGATGCCAGCGCTGCAGGCGGAAGATTAACCAAGTGAGCCACGGTGCCGGCCCTGGGCCATCTTCCACTGCTTTCCAGGCCATGACAGAGAGCTGGATCAGAAGAGGAGAAGCCAGGACTCAAACTGGCGCCTATATGGGATACAGGTACTGTCGGTGGAGGATTAACTTCCTGTGCCACAGCACCCCCCCCCTTTTAATTTGAAATGCAGAGAGACATGGAAGGAGAGACAGAAAGACAGATAGAGCTTCCACCTACTGGTTTACTCCCCAGATGCCTGCAACAGTCCGAGCTGGGCCAGGCTGAAGTCAGGAGCTTGGAACTCCATGCGGGTCACCTGCATGGGTGGCAGAGACCGAAGTCCTTGAGTCATCATCTGCTCCTGCCCAGGGTGTGCATTAGCAGGAACTGGAAGCAAAGCTGGGACTCAAAGCAGGGACCTCAATACGGGGTGTGGGCTTTCCAAGTGGTGGCTTAACCACTGCACCAAATACTCAGCCCTCTTTAAAAAATCTGAATTTATTTTTATCTTTTTATTAGAAAGGGGGGGGGAGAGAAAAAGAGAGATGGCCATTTCCTGCTTTATTAATTTTTTTTCAAACTTTATTAGGGGGGAGTGAGAGAGAGAGAGGAGAGGGGAGAGGGGAGAGAGGAGAGGAGAGAGGGGAAAGAGATCTTCTATCTACTAGTTTACTCCTCAGGTGTCCATACAGCCAGGGCTGAGCCAGGCCAAAGCCAGGAACCCGGAACTCAATCCAGGTCTCCCATCCAGGTGGCGGGGACCCAACTACTTGATCCATCAACTGCTGCCTCCCAGATCATTGGCGGGAAGCTGGATCAGAAGCGGAGCAGCCAGGACTCGCACCAGGCACTCAGATAACAAGAGGTGGGCATCCCGGAGCTGTGTCTCAACCATTGCCACAAACAGCATCCCTTTAAGATTTCTGCTCTGGCACATCGCAACTGTTGACAGAAGATAGCGTTCTCCAGGTTCAAGAACACCAGTCTAGGGAGCAAGATTTTTCAATGAATAAAAATAGAGAAAAAGCTGCTTCCTCAAAGTTCAGAAACTTCACCTGGAAATGCTCGCTGCAGGTGGAGGCTGAGGAGCCGCCGCGGCTCCCTGACAGCAGCGCCAGCACAGCTTCCTCCCAAGACCCTGAGCTCCACCTGGTTCCATCATCGCCCCAAACCGCAGCCCTGGAAGTCAGGCAGGGACACGATTGCTGATTAAATGCTTTTCCACAGTTAATGAATATTTACTGAGTGCATACTTTGGACAGATCCTTCTAAGGGTCTCCGTGACAAGTAGGTTAGTGACATTTGCCCTGCCCCCTCCTTTATTTTATTTATTTGATTAGGGGGAGGCAGAGAGACAAAGAAAGAGTCCAAATGCCCATAACATCCAGAGTTTGGTTAGGCTGATGTCAGAAGCCTGAAACTCCATCCGGGTCTCGCGTGTAGTTGGCAGGGGCCCAAGGACTTGAGCCATCATCTGCTGCTTTCCCAGGGTGTGTCTATTGGAGTCAGAACTGGCACTTGAACCCAGGCACTCTGGTACGGGACAGGGATGTCCCAAGTGGCGACTTAACGGCTATGCAGAGCGTCTGCACCAAGCGCCCCCCGCCTTTGGGAAGTGTTCACACTTAGGCACCCAGCAAACCCCCTGGCTCATCCTGATGGTTCTCAAGTCTGTTCCCTTTTGGCTGACATCCTCAGGTCCCTTGGTCCTAAGGGCTGGCCCTCCGCTCTCCTCTCCTGGCATCTGGTCCATCGCTCACTCTCCCATTACCTGCCACCCGGATGTCGCCCACGTGTGTCCCCACTTCCCAGCTGCCTGCTGGAGCTCCATTTCCACCGGAAATGCCTCTCACTGCACAGACCCTTCAGCAGCTCATCAAATGCGACCTTCTCCCCCACTGCCCTGTCACTTCTGGAAGCCTCGGTCTTGTCACTGCCATCTGCACTCCCTTGCACACGTCTGATCACCAATCCTAGGAGCTCTTCCTTGGAAATTTCTTCCTCTCCTGGCTCTCCCTGTGGCAGCCCTCCCTCATGGGCTTGCAGCTTTCAAGGGGGCAGGGTCCTCCCCATCTCCCCCCTACCCCCCGCCCAAGTTGCCTGGGCTGCTTATGTGCCCTCTGTCAGAAGCAGGTTCCTTCCCACCCATCTGGAGGTCATCAAGTACTGTGTGGTTAACCTGAGCCCCCTCACTTTGGTACTTGGTGCCTTTTCCTCTGTCTGGGCCCACCCCAGCTTCCAGTGTGAGTCCCATGCCCCAGGCAGCCTCTGCCCCCTCCACCCCCCATTCCCACTCTGGCCCTCCTCTGCCCATCTTCTCCTAAATCCACCATCTGCACAAGAGTCGTTCCCACTTCCTCCAAAAGGGCTCCCTGAGTACTGCTGCCTTCTTTCTGTTCTCGCGTTGCAGCTCCCTTCACAGGTGCTGTGACCCGTTTTAAAAAATTAACTTATTGGAGAGAGCATGAGAGCGAGTGGGAGTGCTCCCATTTGCTAGTTCACTTCCCCAGCACCTGCAACAGCTGGGGCGGGTCCGATGTGAAGCCAGGAGTCTGGAACTCAATCCAAGTCTCCCACTTCCGGCAGGGACCCAAGTACCTGAGCCATCACCTGCTGCCTCCCAGAATGCATTAGCAGGGAGCAGAGCCCGGGACCCGAATCCAGGATCTCCAGTATGGGATGGGGACTCCCAAGCAGAACTCCAACTGCGGCATCAAAACCCTGCCTCTCATTATCTCGCCCCATTCCCCCACTCTCACTCCCCTCAGGGAATCTGCACAACTGGGGTAGGGGGCGAGTATCCTCTTTATTCGGCAGCATCCGCCGGAATGGGCCTTCAATCCCAGCCCCAGGACCATCAGCTGCAGGGCCATAGGCAGCCACAGGCGATGTGGCCACTACAACCCTACATCTCCCTACCACATCGAGGCACAGCAGGTGCTCAGTAAGTAGGCGAAGGTCTGCTGTGGTAGAAGAAAAGAGTTACGCCTTAAGTTTCGGACTGGCTGGGGAGAAAAGGCAGCGAAGAAGGGTAAGGGGAGACCCGAGCGCCGGGCTGTGGGGGCGCGGGGTAGGGAAGGCTTCCTGGAGGCGGAGGCTTTGCAGAGGCCAGGCTGGGAGGAGGCAAATGCCGGGGGATGGCGGCCGGGAGGTGGGAGGACATTCCGATGTGGGGAAGGGTGAGGACAAAGCCGGAGCCGAGTGAGAAGCTTACGGCCCGGCGCAGGACGGAAGGAGGCACGCCCGGGTCCGAGCCTGTGCAGGGGTCGCCCAGGGGTGCCCAGGGACATTTGTCCCGCGAGGCTCGCCAGGGGCCAGAGGCGCGTCCCGCAGCTCTCGGGCGGGCGCGATCCGGCCCCTGCCCCTCCTCCTGGGAGGGCGGGCGGCGGCCGCTGCGGGGCGGGGCGCGGGCTCGTCCGGCCTCCTGGCGGCGCCTCGGCCCCTGCACTCCGGCCAAGGTCTGCTGGCTGCGGCGGGCGCGGGACGCGGGACGCGGGAGGTGGCGGCCGTGGTGAGCGAGCCCCGATCGGGAGCGAGACGGGTGTGCGCTGGGAGGTGCTGTCCAGGGCTTGGGGATCCCCAGGGGGCTCCGGCTCCGCCAGGTGCGCAGCTCTCAGCCCGCGCGTCCGCCCTCCGCGCCCGGCGCAGAGCCGTGCAGGGCGCCAGGCTCCCGGGTGCTGGGGCTGGGAGTTGCGCTCCTGGCTCCGGTGCCGCGCCCTGCAGGGGAGACGGGCGGAACCGTGGGTGGCGATTCCTGGGGAACAGGCGTCCCGGCCAGGGAGGGAAGAGGGTCTCCAGGAGCCCGTTTAGTGCAGAGGGCTTCGCCCCTTCTGGACCCTTGAGTTCGAGCGACAGCTGGGAACGACCCACACGGAGCACTGCGGTCCCTGCTGTGTCCCCAGTACCTCGGCGTGCTCGTCCGGACCGTCCCTCGGAAAGAAGGGGCTGTGGCCGCCCCCTGGCCCTGGCCCACCACTCCAGGGTCCTGGCGGGTCGTTCCCCGCTCCAGCCGCTTACGGCACACGTCGGGCTTTCCAAGGAACTTTTCCGAGTCGCTTCAGGGCTGGCCTGTGGCAGGTGCTGGGCTGTCTTGTCGCAGTTGGGTTCTCAGGGTTCGGAAAACTTTGGGCGTGTTTCCCTTCACCCCCACCCCCGGGAGAGCGCCGCAGCCAGCGCTGCTGCCGCTGCACCAAACGTGCTGAGAATCCTCCCAGCCGCGTTAGCTCCTAAACTTGCCTGCACATCTGGACAGTTTAAAAAAAGAACAAAACAACCCCCCAGCCAGCACTGGTACCTGGGACCCCTCCCAGAGAGCCGCGATCCTGTGGGGCTGGGGCGCAGCCTGGGCAGTGGACCTTCTCAACGCTTCCCAGCTGGTTGTAATGCGGAGCCGAGTTTGAAAGCCTGTGCTTCTGGGGGTGGCTCCCACAAGCCACTTTTTGAACCACTAAGTTGTAGCTCTCAGCTCAAGCCCTTCTGTGACCCGCCTCTTAGCCACAGAGCCTGTGGGTCGGAGGTCTCCCTTGTCTTACACTACAAATAATACTTTTTTTTTTTTTTAATGTTCCGCTTTGTTTTTCTCTCGCTGTTTACAGTAAACATTGCCTGGGCAGGGAGGGGTGTAGGCCTCCAAGTCCTTGCAGGGCTCAAGGTTACAACTCAGGGTTGTCCCATTCAGGGCAAAGCCGTGGGACGCTTGGACTTGTCATCTTTGCAAAGGACTTCAGATGGGAAAGAGAGATACCGCAGGAACCGCTCTGCGCAGATGCGGCGCGTTTTCCTTCGGGAAGCCACGCCAAGCAGATGGTTCAGGTCGTGCGGTTGACGTTTGTGTGAGCGCGTGTGCGATTGTGGGTTGGACGCCGTGTGGTCAAGCCCTGCAGACACAGTGCAGTGTGTGTTTCTTGTGGATAGAATGGTGTGGGTTAAGGAGCGGCGCCTTCAGTAGAATGGCATGTCTGACAAGATGCTTTGGCCACCTGTCAACAGATCTGAAAAACTTTAGGGAACCAGAGCAAAGGAAAAATTGAACATATGTTTATATTGAGTACTTGATCATACACAGTTTATCAATGGAGCATATTTTCAGTATCTTTGTTAATGAGACAAAAGTCTCCTGAGATCTTGGCTAATTCAGTGTTGTAACCAAGTGTGACTTTTATTTATTCATTTATTTGGAAGTCAGAGTTACACAGAGGAGAGGCAGAGAGAGAGAGTTCTTCCATCCGATGGTTCACTCCCCAATTGGCCGCAATGGCCAGCGCTGCACCAATCTGAAGCCAGGAGCCAGGAGCTTCTTCTGGGTCTCCCACACGGGTGCAGGAGCCCAAGGACTTGAGCCATCTTCTACTGCTTTCCCAGGCCATAACAGAGAGCTGGATCGGAATTGGATTAGCTGGGACTTGAACCAGCACCCATATGGGATGCTGGCACTGAAGGCGGCGGCTTTACCCTCTATGCCACAGCACCAGCCCCATGACTTTTTTTTTTTTAAGCTTTATTTATGTATTTATTTGAAAGGCAGAATTACAAAGACAGAGAGAGAGAGAGGGAGGGGGAGAGAGGGAGGGGGAGGGACAGAGACAGCATGGTCTTCCAAACCCTAGTTCACTCCCTAAATGGCTGCAATGGCCAGGGCTGGGCCAATCTGAAGCCAGGAGCTTCTTCTAGGACTCCCACGTGGCTGCAAGGGCCCAAGCACTTGGGTCATCTGCTGCTGCTTTTCCCAGGCCGTACCAGAGAGCTGGATCGGAAGAGGAGCAGCCAGGACTGGAAATATTGCCCACATGGGACTCTGGTGCCATAGGCAGAGGCTTAACCTGCTGTGCCACAGCGCCGCCCCTCCCCCCCAGTATTACGTTTGTATTGGACTCCCACCTGGATGTTGCCACCTGGCTACAATCAGTGGATTTCACTTCCTCTTTGGTGGCAGTCCTCCACGTGTGTTTTATGAGCTGTGGGTGACATTCTTTCAAGAATGCCCTTCAGAGGGCAAGGAACATTTGGGTTCATTTGTAGCACCTCATGTGAGTTGCCTATTCAGTTTGGAAAATAAAAAAATACGTAGCTTTTGCCCACTTGTATTTCTCTTTTCCCTTCCTTTTTCGTGCTGGCTCCTGTCCTTGTTTGCACTTGCTGGGAGTGTGACCACCCTGGGAGCCCTCATTGTCTGGGCCCTGGTTGGAGAGTGGACATTAGGAGGAGTGCATGGCATGTCCCAGGGCGGTCCCTGGCCCGAGGCCGGCTTGCCTGCCTGCCTTCCTTCCTTCCTTCCTTCCTTCCTTCCTTCCACCAGGTTGGCAAAATGAAACCATGTCACTCAGCAGGTGTGTTTGTAACTTGCAAGTCTTGTTACAATTTAGGAGAGAAATGTTTCTCTGAGGATGCTGTTGAACTATTAGCATCAGAAAATCTGCACCTAACCACAGTAGTTGCACGGTGATGCAGGACTACAGTCTGCTCCTCCCAGAGAAAGGAGTATGTGAATGTGGACCTAAATGGAGTTAGTGAAATAGTTCTCACATTGGGGTAGCAGTTCTACTATGCTGAAGTGATCAGAAGAAAGGAAGAGAAGTAAAATACGAGGAGCATTTAGTGAGCGGTTTCTTCATTTAGGGGAGGCATATGCAGCGCTCGCCTGTGGTTTGTGTTTAGAATGGACTGCTCTCTCCTGGCAGGTAGGCTAAGCCCTTCCAGTCCTGGTTGTTCTGCTTCAGATCTGGCGTCCTGCTAATGCCTCCAGGGAGGTAGAGGAGGATGGCTCAAGTGCTTGGGTCCCCACCACCCACGTGGGAGACCTGGATGGAGTTCTGGGCTCCTGGGTTGGGCCTGCCGCAGCCTAGGCCATTGTAGGCATTTGGGGAGTGAAGCAGGGGGTGGAAGATCTCTCTCAGTTTCTCTCTCTGTGTCTGTCTCTCTTTCTCTTGTTCTACCTTTCAAGTAGATGTAAAATAAATAAACAATACAAAAAAAGAACAGACTATCCTATTGGCTTCCTTCTTCTTCAAGTTAATTTGCTTGGACTGATGAGTGAAGGATGGCTAAAGAAACTCAATAGGCTCCTTAGCTTTTTTTTCTCCCCCTGAAATTCGTTTGTCTAAGAGACACCATAGACCTTTTAAAAAATCCAGCTGATTTTATGCTTTTCCTTTCTTTTCCTCTTCTGATCCTGGTGCTAAAGGGCAGTGAAATGACCAAGAGGTTGGCATCAGAGGAGAAAAACAAAGTTCAAGGGGAAATGACCACTGGGTGATTTTCCCCGAATGACCAAGCACTTACTTTATTTTCTGGCACATGATGTTGCTGTTATCAAGAGACAAATTATGATCCGAAAACCCTGGAGATGGAAATTGAAAAAAAGAGGGAGGGGATTTGTTGGGAGCAGAACCGGGATTGAGTGGCACGTGGCTGTCACGTAGCAGACACTTACTGGAATTTTCAAACACCCCAGTTCCAGATCCTTTTACCTTCTTTCTTCATGTGCCCTCCTCTGTCCCCCAAACTAACATCTCTGGGAAAGAGAAGGTTTCATCCTAAATTCACAGCAGGGGTTGTTGTTTCAATTCTTTTAAAAATATTTATTATTTTATTGAGTCAGAGAGAGATCCTGTCCCCTGGCTTACTCTCCTAATGTCTGCAACAGCGGGACTGGGTCTAGGCTAGGCTGAAGTTGGGAGCTGGGAACTCCATCCGGGTCTCCCACATGGGTGGCAGGGACCTGCTGCCTCCCAGGGCGCACATTAGCAGGAAGCTGGATCCAAAATGCTGCTGGAGTTCAAACGCAGCCAGTCTGCTGTGGCATGCGGGTGGCATTTTAACTGCTGCGGTGCCAAACACCTGTGTCTGTTCTTCCAGTTCTTACTTCATTAAGAAAACAGATACCTGGGAAGCCCCTAACTACTTCGGAAAACTATTCCCTATGGAATTTTTCTGAAACAGGGAACAACCCCTGCCCTCAGGAGCCTGAAGTTGGGTGTGGATGTGAACTATGGGCAGTAAGCTGGGGACTCTTAGAATCAAGATAAGCACAGAGAACTGAGGGCTGCCATGTGGCACTTGTCACACTGGTAGATTCTGCATCAATTCATTGGCACAGCAGACACAAGAAGTATTTTAGTTGGGTTTAGAGTTTAAATATAAATATAAACATGCGTTTATATTTAAATATTTATTTATTTATTTGAAAGGCAGAGTTACAGAAAGAGGGAGAGAGAGGGAGAGGAAGAGGGGGAGAGGAAGAAGGAGGGGGGAGAGAGAGAGAGAGAGAGAGAGACCTTTCATCTGCTGGTTCATTTGGCAAATGGCCCTGATGGTCAGGGCTCGGCCAGGTGGAAGCCAGGATCTCCTTCTGGGTCTCTCACACGGGTGGCGGGGGCTGCCTTCCCAGGTGCATTGGAAGTGGAGCAGCTGGGATTTGAACGGGTGCTGCAATATGGGATGCCTGTTTTGCAAGTAGCAGGTTAACACACCCTGCCACGACACCAGGCACCCCCATGTTTCATTTCTTTAAAA